AGCGCACTGCAGAATAAGTGAGATGGAACGAGTGACAGTTGTACGCATACTTCAATTAGCACATCATTTACTTTGGTCTCATCAAAGTTCATCAGAGCGCTAATTGAAGAGCTTTTACTTTAAGTCATAAAAGCTAGGGCGAGTGTGCTTGGTTTTTAGTGTGGTGACTGAAGACTGTATTTGGCAGACATAGATAGATGTGTGTGTGTGTGTGTTTACTTCGAAGTGTTGAGGTCAGCTCTTTGCACCTTTATGCACTTGTTTAAGGAAGTTGTGCTTGCCCCTGGCTGTACAGTGGCTTTTACCAGTAACCACATATTCCCAAATGACAAGCCACACTATAGTTTTCACTCTCCTTCTTGCTTTCTCTGTGCCTTTCCTTATTTCACGTTCAGTCAATTATTTTGTAGTTTTTGCGGTTCCTTTTGGCTAATTAAAACCAAAACAAATGCAATTGTCACCGCTGGCAAAAATAGAAAAAGCTGTCAACGCTACAACAATGTTAGGGGGGGGTATTTATGTCAGTGTTTGTGTAGGTGTGTAGGTGTGTAGGTGTGTTGGAGGGAGTGTGTCATTGCTTAGCCATCGCAACAACCGCAAAAAACAAGCAGGACAATGCAAATGACGTGGGCAGGTAAGTGGGCGCAGGACGACGAGAGCAAAAGCAGCATGAAAAAAAGTCAAAACTGGTAACGAGAAATGCACAGAGACAATGAATGTCACTGGAGAGCAACTAGCCCCTCTCTCCCCAGCTTTTGAGGTCCCCTCGCAATCACTCGCTGCTGCTTTGTGTGCACCCGTTTGCTTTGTTGTTTTATTTGCTTTGAAACATATTCCCACTGCGAGCTGTGGTATTTAGTTGTTGTTCTCTCTTGAATATGCTGTTGTTGTTGTGGTTTCATTTATATCACTGTCGGACAAGCGGGGCCCAAGAATCAACAGAGAATAGATTGCCATAATTGCTGGGTGGACCGACCAGTTGCAAAGACTTTTACAGTGGTGCTCTTTGTAATGAGCTAAAGGGCTTAAAATATAATCGAATTGATTTAAATATACTTACTTGAAATATACATAGTCTATATACAAAACTTTTTTTCAAAATCTGTAGCAAAAGCTCTTGACTTTCAGCTTCCCTGATAAGCCTGATAAACCGCAACCCTAAATTTAAGCGTAAGCATTACTGAATTATTTGTTGTTCAAATTTCATCAAATTCATTAAAATACATTCTTCATATACCTTCGAAAACTATTCTTAATTCCCCTCAGATATATTCGTTTCAAAATATATATGTATTGGGAGTTTCAATTTGTTTAATAAATCTTTTAACAAAATATAAATTAAACCCCTTTTAATTTGTATTTTTTTTTATTAATTATTGGGTTTCTTTGTCTAAAATTTATTAAAGCCTGGTTAATGTTTTAATTGATTGTCTTAGACAAATAAAAGTTAGTCGATCCAATCTTTTATTTGAATCAAGCGGAACTTTTGACATTCAGACTTTATCGATCAATCGCCAAATGTGAAGAATATGAATATATGTAATTTTGGAAGTAGTTCACTCAGTATGCATATACATCCATTACATACATTTACATTTATTTCTTTAATAGTCTAGCTGCTTACAAACTAGCTGAACTGCCCCAGATAATTCAGAGAGGCGCAGTGCAAGCCAAGGCAGGCATTGAGGTGATATATGAAACAAACAGTTGGTGCTAGCTATTGTTGAACTACAAATATATTGTTTGAATACAAGTGTTGTCTGCTCGTCGCATGTCCATGCCAAGCCCGTGTCAAGCCATGATATTACTGCCACCCTCATCATCTGGCCTCCGGTTTGTGGGAAGGGGGTTTAATGGTATTGTATGCGGGTGCATGGCAAACTAATGTCATAGTCACGCCGCATGACGTTGACAACAGTAATGTTTATGTTGATGATGATGATGATGATGATAACGATGGTGGTGTTGGTGTTGGTGGTGGTTGTGGGTGTAGAGGATCAAAGCAACACCTGTGCATTGAGCGACTGCCACACATGGTGTTTGTATTATGAGTAACATTTGCTATCCGCCATTGTTGGCAACTTGAAAGTGGATGCAACAGTCGCTGGTTTGCCATATGCATTTCTTTGTCTACCGTAATGCAGGCAGTTGTATAACTCACGCATATCTCTCTCTCTCTCTCTCTCTCTCTCTCTCTTGCACTTGCTGCACTATTGCTACATTTGTGTTGCCACAAATGAGCAGCAAAACTGAGAATCGAATGCCAACCGCATATTGCCTGCCATGTTGAAACACGCAACAAAGAACAGCAGCGAACTGCAAAAGGCGAAAGGCAAATGCCGTTGCCAGCATTGAGGCATTGATATGCCAGGTATATACAAACAAATGTACATGCATATATATGTACAGGGCAGGGGTGGGGGGAAGCGTAGATATCGGCTTATATGTGTGTGTGTGTGTGTGTGTCTGTATATGTATTTATAGGGCCAAAAGACTTCAATTATGGCAATGAGAACGCTGGATAACTGTATGTTGCATCACCACCCGACTCGTTACTGTCGCAATGGCGGCTAATGGCAACAAATTTTCAATGTGCGCCATCTGTCTTCGTCTCTCACGCCTTCTCTCCCCCTCTCTCTCTATCTCTCTGTGTGTGTGCGAATTTTTATTTCCCTGCAAAGCTGACATCGTCTTTTGTGTATGACAAATGGCAAAAAGGCTCGCCGGGTCGGCAATCTGCCGCTCTGTCTCTGTCTGTGTCCCTTACTGCCCTCCTCTCTCTCTATCTCTCTCTCTCTCTCCCTCTCTCTCTCTTTCTCTCTCTCTCTCTTAGTCGTCTGTCGCTGCCATTGTGTCATTGGGTCGGCAGTTGCATGCGCTGCAAATGTAATAAGTAATGCATGCATAATAAAATAGATATGCCTTTGTATGTGTGTGGGTGTGACATACTTTTAGGCGTTGCATAGCAAATTGTGAGCTTAGAACAGTTATAAATCATATTGGGGTGGGGAAGTGTGCGTATATGTGAAAAACGCATTTTTTAATAAGAGGGAAAGAAAGGAGATATAGCACGGCTTTATCCAAATCAAAAATTGTACTTTAATAACTTATAAACCAGATTTTCTCACTCCCCTGCTGCGTTTCGTTTTTTATGCTATGGTCGACGAAGTGCTTCAGGATCCCCGAAAGCTGAGTTGGCTGCCCTCCTGGCGAACATGTCAGCGACCTCTGTTGACGGAATGCCAGTGTGCCCTTTGACCCAGTAGATTACCACCCTATTCCTAGCCAACAGTCTACACATAGTCTACACACAGCCATACCATCTTTGAGACAACCTTGCAGGTTTTCAATGACTTGATAGCTGCTTGACTGTATGAAAAAATGTCCTTATGACAAGATTGAGGGAAGCGCACCTTTCTATTTCGTATATTTCCACACTTCATATAAACTGATGCATGCATTTATTAAGCAGCAGCCTGGGCGTATGTGTAACTTGAGAGAAGCTGGGAGAAGCGAGTCGGGCAGCAACGTAAGCTTCGTAAGCGGCCCCAACACTATCATGTCCTGCGCATAATTATGAAATAAATATAATTTCCATAGAGAGCCCATAATGATGACAACGTTGAGACACAACCCGCTGCCAGGGAGCGGGGGCGGTGTCAGGGGCGAGTGTTGCAGATGGAAGTGGAGGTGGAGGTGGAGGTGGAGGTGGTTTTAGACACCACAAAATTTTGTAATAATAAAGTTTCACTACAGCAAATTGCAAATGTGTGTCTCGCCTCAGCACACTCACGCTTCTGCTACGTAATGTGACGACTACCATATAATTCATTATTAAAAAGGCTTAATGACAAAACTTTTAACATTGTAAGTAAAATAAAAATTGCAAAAAAATACTGCTGAACTGGGGCACAGTTTGAGGCAGCTCCAGGGGTGGGGGCAGGTCAAATAAAGAGCACTTAACTTTACATTTTATAATTTTTACTACTGCAGTTTATTATTATGCTACGATGCGTGAACTACACAATAAACTACTTAGAACACTTACATTTTCATTCGAATTTTGCATGTCAATTAACTTACAAATAGGATTCCACTAAAAGACAGTGGTTTAAGACATATTCATTTCAATTTCAGTACCGATCTGCTTTAATCTTTAAACTGAACCAATTAAAGAGCCATGAATTCAAATTTAAGTTAAAGTTAAATAACCAACTTAAAATTATGCAAACAAATCTGTTCAGTTTTCCTAGAGCATTCCGAACACATCTGTGCTTTTCAAGCCGAATTCGCGAAAACTCGAATAGAAATATTGAGGAAGTAAGGCAGAGACAGAAAACGATATGAATATTAAGAAGAAATCGCAATTATATGGGCATATCTGTGCCGCCGCCATTCCACAAAGCAGATTATAATCATTATTACTTGCAACGCTTTATAGCTGCCAAGGGTAACTCACCTTATTATTAAGCAAGTATATTTCTAAGACGGAGGGATATATCTTCTTAACAACCAGGGTTTTTCGTTTCTTAATGCCAAGGAAAATTTTTCTAAAATGTTGAAAAATGATGACTAATTTGCAGGGTGCTTATACTCGGATACCGAACGTATCAAGTTTGGTAGGTATATATTACTGGTAGCCGCCGTAAGGACCGTTAGGCAATTTGTATGGCCACGCCCACACCCGCCGCCCCAGGAACTTCGGCCCTAGAAATCTGAAATGCGCTTATCTTCCACTATTTGTAAACTAGAGTCGCCAAATTTTGAAGGTATGGTACTGGTAACTCCTTTAACAGATCGATCAAAAAATTGGATGGCCATACCATATATCTTACACAATTTGAAACAAAGAGTCATCAAATTTGAAAGGTATATTGCTAGGAACACCCTTTTTTTAAATATGTATATCATTCTAGTTTTATTGCCATATTTCCCATTAAAAAGCTTGTGACGGCGCGAATATTCAGCTTGCAATTTTCAAAACACTGCACAAAACATGCACATTAGACTTAAGCAGCTGGTCTAGATCAGCTGGTGCAGCTTATGGTGCGTTAGAGAGCTTTCGAACGCGAACTTTCGCTCTTAATCTTTCTAACGCGAACTTTTGCTCTTGAACTGTCAAGTTGGCTGCGCCTGCGTTTCTGAATGCATTTCATTCTTCCGCATGCTATCGATGCAAGAAGCAACAGCAGATCGGTGCCAAGAAAAGTTTTCTGTTTGTTTTACGTGACAATTTGCACGTGGTCAAATAAATACAATCGGCAAACATCCGAAGCTGGGATAATATTTAAAGTGCGATATTACGGATACCAGAACGCTGAAGACCGGTTATACCCGACAGCAGTCGAATTTAATAAAATTTCGACTCATTACCGGGATTTTGGCAGTTCACGTGTTTCGAGTGTTGGGTGGACCTGCAAGCACACCACATCCAATCATTGCACCACACCACAATACACCATTGACCACGGAACTGGCCACCCAAGCCCCTTCGTCTATTCTTATACCTCATTATTTTGTTGAAAAATAAAATCAAGCCGACTTCAGCAGAGAAGCGTTGCCAGCGCCTATTCAGGGCTGCTCAACGCCTCTCAATACAACAACAATAAGAAGAACAACTACAACAACACAGGAACAACAACCCCGGTGTCTTGAAGTCACCGCATAGCAGGCATAGAGTATAAAAAAAAAAGGAAAAAAATGAATTTTAGTTCTAAGTAATATTATACTCCATACTTATAAATTTGTAAAATATTTTCTAGTGAGCGCTTTGTATCCATTTTGCACCTTTGACTCTAATTATCACCGCCTACAGATCGTCTACGTCGACAGGCCTGCTGACATCGATGGATCGCTAAGGATGATATGGTAGTAAGTACGGCGTAGCCGGACGTGATGGCATCAGAGATGCAATAGTGGTAACTAAAGCGCCCATAGAATTTTGTTGGTATTGTATTGATATTCCTAATAGTATAAAATTAATAAGAGTATAATAGTATCAGAGCCACAATTTATAATGAAGTTACAATGTCCTTATTGAATTCCACTATCATGAATAGTCCTTGTATTTAACTTTAATTCAATTATAGAAATATAAACATGGGATAATTTGTTATTATTAAAGGCACCTTAGGTTTGTAGCACCGCAGGCTTCATAGGGTAGGATCCGAAATTGCGATAGATTCCTACAAGGTTGGGTGGGTTAAGAAGGAGAACTCTAACAACTTAACTCTCCAACTTTAGATAGGCTATAAGCAACATCAGTCCGTTCCATTGGTATGGCTGACATTCCTTATCCCGTTCTTCCCGTTCTTCCCTGTCTACGAAATTATTACTGTAGTACCGTTTGTTTAGGCGGCACAATACCCACGCCCAATTTCCCTGAGCAAGGCCGCCCCAAATAGTAGACAGGGTGTGCAAGCCGAGACGACATTGTTAGTGTTCGTTACATAATAATTGGCGCCCAACGTGGGGCCCGACCGATTGGTCGTTTCCGAACAAATGCCAACCGATTGGTTTTTTTTCACTGTATGTATCACTGCTAGGATAATCTTTATTATCCTAAGTTAAGGTGAACACCCCGCGCTTCCCAAATTACCTTTCTACATTCCTTTTCTCGAAACCATATTCCACCCATATTATATTTTGCAATTAAATCCGTACGGTACTTTCTGTTTACTTCGGAAATGCTGGAATTCTGATTATTGTCGGAGCCAGACCAGTAGACAGAGTAGTTCCAGAAAGTTGATTTCATTTTAGAGTCTCTTTCTAACGAAAGAAACTTTCTAGACATTTAATCAATTCTTTTGTTTAATCTCGAATTGCGTTGGAATTTTAGTTCTGATTTCAGTCGGTCCTAAACCAGGCAATCGATATTTAAATAATAATTTATATTCCGGACCTAAATTGAGATTTGCTCAGATTGGAGTCTTTCGGCCTGTTCCTCTTTAGATTGGGTAATATACACTCTTATATATTTTTATAGTAAATTCTGTGTACGAGTCTGATATGTTTATACGCCGTCAATCATACCTGCGGTGCCAGACCTTTGGATAAGTCCTTATTAATTATTCAGCGTTTATTTCGATATAGTAAATTTCGTCACTTTATATATCTCACTTTTCCGACCACAAAACCACTTTACCGACATTTTATTTTGCTATGGCTGTCAGACGTAGCGCAGAAGATTTAAGATCCGCAACCCCTATTGAACCTGGCATATGTACGATTTGTAATGATACCAGGTCAGATAGTGAATTTGTAGAAACACCCTGTAAACACAAGTTTCACAGATGGTGTCTATTGGAGTGGTTAGTGAGCAGTGAATCATGTCCTGTGTGTAGGCAATACTGCTCCAAAATCATGATTCAAATAAGAGAAAGCACTACGACTGATACCAATACCCCGTCTGGTAAGGACCATACTAGTATCACGAAAGCAAGTTCTGGAGCGGTTCCTAAAACTGGTGTAAACACCAGATCGACTTCACGCAATAGACCGAATACGAACGTCCGACCAAATCCAAATTTAAACACAAAACGTGATTTGCCCCGACCTAAGGTTACATCCGAGTCTAAGTAATTCCAGCAATAGTCGAAATAACAGTAATCAGAGACCTGGAAATTCTTACGCTAGCGCAAACGTAGGGGATGGAGTAGTTGAACATCCCGAAAGAATTTCGAATGTTATTTCCAATTGGCGAATCAAGTTTAGCGGATTAGCTAATGACATTCCAATTGAAGATTTTATATATCGAGTGAACTGTTTAACCTCTCAATGTTTAAATGGGAATTTCCATCTACTGGTTCAGTTTGCTCATCTCCTTTTCACTGGACCAGCCTTATCTTTCTACTGGCGCGTTCATAGAAGTGCAGTTCACTTGAATTGGTTTGAACTGTGTAACCGCTTGCAAGAGAGATATAAGGATCAGCGAACTGATCGCGACATCAAAGATGCAATTCGTCGTCGCAAACAAGGCAACAACGAAAGCTTTGATGATTTTTTAGATGCAATTCTGTCGATTGCCGATTCCTTGCGTGAGCCTATGTTGGACACAGACCTAACGATCGAAGTCAGACATAATCTCAAAACTGAACTAAAGCACGAATTGTCTGCGAAGGGAATGTCATAGACATGAGGATTTCTTTCGTAGTCTTAATTCAAGGCAGCAGCCTCGAGTAAATGTGAACCGACGATTACTGTTCTCCACGAACAAATTCCAGGAGTTGAATCGGAAGAGGAAATTAATGCAACTGATGAAATCTGTGTAGTTCGATCCCCCGAAAAATGTATATGCTGGAATTGCGAGGAACAGGGTCACAGATACCAAGATTGCCTGAAGCATCGTCGGATTTTTTGTTACGGTTGTGGCACACCTGAGACATACAAGCCCAACTGTCAAAAATGTAATCCCAAATCGGAAAACTCGACGAAGGATGTCCGCCGTGTTCCGAAAGGGGATGTCCGATATTAGCCTCGGATCCACAAAATGTTCAAACAGCTATTTCTAAACAACTACCAGACCAATCACCTTTAACCCCGGAATTACCTAGTCTCTTGCGATTTAAGCCATACCATGTGCGAGTTCATGAGTACGAGAAGCGTACGTCCGAAATATTTAACGCGGATGAATTACTTTCATGTAAATCTCGTTCTTCTTTACGTATGCGAAAATTTTGGCAAAGCAAGCGAGCACTAAACAGATGTTTAATTAACTCTATTGTTAATAAAAGCAATGATATTCGACCTTTTATCAACATTGACATTTTTGGTCAGGATTACCTAGCCTTATTAGATAGCGGGGCCAACAAAAGTGTCATTGGCGGATATCTTGCCAAGAGAGTTTTGTCAGAAAACTTTAATGTTGACAAAAGCAAAGGCGTTGTTCGCACGGCCGATGGCCAAACACATCCTGTTGCTGGTACAATTACCATACCCCTGACTTATAATTCAACCCAAGCTGACCTTGAGTTTCTTATAGTTTCTTCCATTAGAACAGATGTTATTTGTGGTATGGATTTCTGGAAGAAATTTGGTATATCGATTTCATCTTTTGGCGATATTAATGTTTCGGCGATAGAAACTGAAAAGCTCGAAGAGGACTCTACTAAATTGGATTTATCGTCATTCCAGAAATCCAAACTAAAAGCTGTGATTGATTTCTTTCCATCTTTTGAAAATAATGGACTTGGCATAACAACGTTAATCGAACATACAATCGATACTGCCGAGGCGAAACCCATCAAACAGAGATTTTATCCTCTTTCTCCAGCAAAAGAAGAACTCTTATGCAAGGAGATTGACAGGATGATTCAAATGGACGTTATAGAAGAGGCCCCAAGTTCTCCTTGGTCATCTCCCATCACCTTACACATAAAACCAGGCAAAGTGCGCTTCTGTCTCGACGCACGAAAACTTAATGCAGTCACAATTAAGGATGCGTATCCTATTCCAATAATGGCTGGACTGCTGAGTCGTCTTCCGCCTGTATACTGCATTTCAAAAATCGACCTCAAGGATGCCTTTTGGCAAATCTGTTTAGATAAAGAATCCCGTGCTAAAACAGCGTTTACAGTCCCAAATAGACCTCTTTATCAATTCAAGAGAATGCCTTTTGGATTGACCAATGCTCCGCAAACAATGAGTCGTCTAATGGACTTAGTAATTCCATATCAGCTAAAATCAAACGTATTAGTGTACCTTGACGATTTGCTGGTATTGTCCGATAGTTTTGAGTCACATCTTTTGCATCTTTCAGAAGTTGCTACTCAATTGCGAAAGGCTGGCCTTACCATAAATGTTCAAAAAAGCCAGTTTTGTCTTAGGAAGGTAGAGTATCTAGGCTATATAGTAGGCGAAGGAACACTTCAGGTTAATCCCGAAAAGGTCCGTGCTGTTAAAGAGTTTCCGATTCCGAAAACTCGGAAGCAGCTCAGACGATTCTTGGGAATGACTGGATGGTACCAGCGTTTTATTTCCAGATACTCTTCGATCATTTTTCCCCTTACCGAACTTCTAGGTAAAAATTTGTTCACCTGGAACGATCAAGCTCAAACTGCATTCGAGGAGATCAAAATGGCATTGTGCTCAGCTCCATGTTTGATCCATCCACAATATGACAAGCCGTTCATAGTGCAGTGTGATGCTTCTTCGTATGCAGTAGGTGCTGTTCTTGCACAGTGCGACGAGTCCGGTCATGAACGCCCAATAGCGTACATGTCGAAAAAATTGAACAAAGCACAACGTTAACTATACCGTTACGGAATTGGAGTGCTTGGCTGTCGTTCTGGGTACAACCTGACCTTAGTGGTAGATTAGCGCGATGGGCGATAAGTCTCCAAGGTTACGGCTTCAGTATTGAACACCGCAAGGGAAGCCAAAATGTGGTGGCTGACGCCCTATCCCGTTCGTTGCAATCCGAAGCATTTCAGTCAGCAGAATACTGTGCTTTGCGAGATAAATTTAAGGTATCGAAGATGCCAGACTATCAAGTAATTGATGGTTACATTTATCATCGCAAAGATTTCTCTGACGATAGCTCCAATCAAGGCAATGATTCATGGAAACTGTTAGTGCCCGAGTCTTTGCGAAACAGCGTCATATGTTCAGCTCATGATCAACCATCTTCCGCACACTGTGGTACCGCGAAATGTCTTGAACGAATACGACGTCATTTGTATTGGCCTAGGATGGTGGTTGATGTGCGTAATTACATTAGCGATTGTGATACGTGTAAGATAACCAAATATCCCAATCGATCACTTAAACCTCCTATGGGTGCTCGAATTATCAGCGAAAGACCATTTCAGCGGTTGTATTTTGACTTCGTTGGTCCGTTTCCTCGCACAAGAAAGGGTCACATTGGAATTTTCATAATTTTAGATCACTTTTCAAAATTCACCTTTCTGAAGCCCGTTAAAAAATTCACCTCCAACGTGATTATCGATTACCTGAGTGAAAATATATTTCCATGTTTTGGAGTACCAGAGATAGTCGTGAGTGACAACGGTACTCAATTTAAAAGCCGTGTCTTTGACGATTTCCTCCTAACCTTCGGTATTCAACATATATTTACAGGAGCCTATTCACCACAATCGAACGCCGCCGAAAGAGTGAATCGTTCGATTAATGCAGCTTTAAGAGCCTATATTCGTGTTGATCAGCGCGAATGGGATACCTTCTTAAGTCGCATTAACAGCTCTCTTCGCAATTCTATACATCAATCGATTGGTTACTCTCCCTATTTTATGGTCTTTGGACAACACATGATTTCTCATGGCAAAGATTATAAATTGTTGAGAAATTTAGAATTGCTAAAAGACAGCACCGCTAGGTTACCCAGAGCTGACGAATTTCAGAAATTCAGGGCTGATGTAGATAAACACCTCAAAAAGGCTTATGACAGAAACCAGCGATCGTATAATTTACGGTCACAGACACGAGCATTTGAAATAGGTCAAGAAGTGATCAAAAGAAATTTTTCTTTGAGCAAAGCTGCAGCTAATTTTTGCTCTAAGCTAGCTCCTATCGGCACTAAGGCTCGAATCAAGGGAAAACTGGGCCGATCGATTTACCTCCTAGAGGATATGAATGGAAAGGAGCTAGGAAATTTTCATGCAAAAGACATTTGGTAGCCAGCACTTCCTATTCGCATCCGTTTGAATTTTTTTCAGCTCTTATTTTTCTCTAATAGAAGTAGATCAGACCTGTGGTGTGACGGCGCGAATATTCAGCTTGCAATTTTCAAAACACTGCACATAACATGCACATTAGACTTAAGCAGCTGGTCTAGATCAGCTGGTGCAGCTTATGGTGCGTTAGAGAGCTTTCGAACGCGAACTTTCGCTCTTAATCTTTCTAACGCGAACTTTTGCTCTTAAACTGTCAAGTTGGCTGCGCCTGCGTTTCTGAATGCATTTTATTCTTCCGCATGCTCTCGATGCAAGAAGCAACAGCAGATCGGTGCCAAGAAAAGTTTTCTGTTTGTTTTACGTGACAATTTGCACGTGGTCAAATAAATACAATCGGCAAACATCCGAAGCTGGGATAATATTTAAAGTGCGATATTACGGATACCAGAACGCTGAAGACCGGTTATACCCGACAGCAGTCGAATTTAATAAAATTTCGACTCATTACCGGGATTTTGGCAGTTCACGTGTTTCGAGTGTTGGGTGGACCTGCAAGCACACCACATCCAATCATTGCACCACACCACAATACACCATCGACCACGGAACTGGCCACCCAAGCTCCTTCGTCTATTCTTATACCTCATTATTTTGTTGAAAAATAAAATCAAGCCGACTTCAGCAGAGAAGCGTTGCCAGCGCCTATTCAGGGCTGCTCAACGCCTCTCAATACAACAACAATAAGAAGAACAACTACAACAACACAGGAACAACAACCCCGGTGTCTTGAAGTCACCGCATAGCAGGCATAGAGTATAAAAAAAAAAAGGAAAAAAATGAATTTTAGTTCTAAGTAATATTATACTCCATACTTATAAATTTGTAAAATATTTTCTAGTGAGCGCTTTGTATCCATTTTGCACCTTTGACTCTAATTATCACCGCCTACAGATCGTCTACGTCGACAGGCCTGCTGACATCGATGGATCGCTAAGGATGATATGGTAGTAAGTACGGCGTAGCCGGACGTGATGGCATCAGAGATGCAATATTGGTAACTAAAGCGCCCATAGAATTTTGTTGGTATTGTATTGATATTCCTAATAGTATAAAATTAATAAGAGTATAAAAGTATCAGAGCCACAATTTATAATGAAGTTACAATGTCCTTATTGAATTCCACTATCATGAATAGTCCTTGTATTTAACTTAATTCAATTATAGAAATATAAACATGGGATAATTTGTTATTATTAAAGGCACCTTAGGTCTGTAGCACCGCAAGCTTCATAGGGTAGGATCCAAAATTGCAATAGATTCCTACAAGGTTGGGTGGGTAAAGAAGGAGAACTCTAACAACTTAGTTCGCCAACTTTAGATAGGCTATAAGCAACATCAGTCCGTTCCATTTGTATGGCTCGCATTCCTTATCCCGTTCTTCCCGTTCTTCCCTGTCTACGAAATTATTACTGTAGCACCGTTTGTTTAGGCGGCACAATACCCACGCCCAATTTCCCTGAGCAAGGCCGCCCCAAATAGTAGACAGGGTGTGCAAGCCGAGACGACATTGTTAGTGTTCGTTACAAGCTTTTCACGCTCAAAGCATTGCCAATGTTATCTAAGATACGCAAATTTAAGAGATTCAAGTGCTAATATGCCTCAAATTACTGAATTATTGATATGCTCCTTAGTAGACGAGCTCAGACTGCTGTACTATGCTGAGTAGAGAGAAGCGCTAAACAAAATCAAATAGGTAGGTAAAAAACAAGTAAAAGTGCTGTAGCCGAGTAAGCTCGACTGCGATATACCCTGAACCCAGTTGTCAAATATATTCCTGTTTTATTTGCAAATTTCCCTTTAGAAAGTTCTGCACCAAAATGTGAGCAAGTCTGCAAGTGCGCTCTGCCGGCAAGCACGTGAATATATACATACATACATACATACATACATACAAACATTCATCCATGCAAACATACATACATATATACGTACACGCAATCATAGGTAACGGGGCTCTGCAGAATACACACAAAAACGTATTGAAGCTCGCTTCGAATATCATGCCACCTCTTTCTGACTCATGCACATGCTCGCATATTGATGATATTGATTGAAATGAGATCAATATGATAATATATTTTCGACTATACTTTGGGTCTTTCTTATCAGATCTTGATGAAATATGGACAGTTGATCAATAATATGCATATGCATATTATATATTAATTAGAAGATTCTGCCTTTGAAATTGTTACAATTTTAAACGGAGACAGTTATCGAAAACTTTAAGCAAACTGGATCTGCGCAGGGTGTACGAGAATCTATATTCCAAATTTGAAGTCTGTAGCTCTTAGAGTCTCTGAGATCTGCGTGTTCATACAGACAGACAGACGGACGGACGGACGGACGACTCGGCTGTTGACCCTAATCAAGAATATATATACTTTATGGGGTCGGAGATACTTCCTTCTGCCTGTTACATACATTTGAACAAAACCATTATACCCTTTTTACCCATTTTTAATGGGTTCAGGGTATAATTACAAAACGAAAATAATTATTTCGGCGTGTGACACACGAAATCCTTAATTCCACATTTTATATTCTTAGCTCTTGTGGTATAAATATTTGATGGGATCAAGGATACCTCCGTTTACGTATTGCATTATAGTACCCTCCTTTAATGGGTACAGTGTATAGCACGTAAGAACGTTGCAGTCGGGTGAAACCGACTGCGAATTACTCTAATACCATATGTAATACCATCTGATAGCAGGTGCCACAGAACAAGTTGGGCGTAGCCAAGAAATACCGGTCTTTGAAGGAGATTTTTAGTATTCTAACATCCAAGTTGAACTTTAAAAAAGATATAGGCTTTTGTCGAAATTTGGGACGGGAGTGGGCATGGCCGAAAATTGTTGGAAGAGTTTCCTAGTAATCTTCCTTTCAAGTTTCCTAACTGTAGCGCTTAAGTGATGAGAGATATGGCAGTTTAAAAATTTTGGGGGCGATAGTAGTCCACAATTTCTTTTTATCAGATTTTTGAATGACGTTACTAGCCACTTACATTTCAAATTTGGTGACTCTAGCTTTCAAATTGTGTAAGATATATGGTTTTATCGATGTACACTAAGAGGTGTATCAGATTGGGAAGGCGGAGTGGGCGTGGCCATCCAATTTTTTTATCGATCTCTTAAGGGAGTTATCCGTAACATACTTTCATACTTGGTGACTATAGCTAACAAATTGTGGAATAAATGCTTCTGGGGGCGGAGGGTATGGGCGTGATCTGAAAACTTATATGCCGATCTTTGAAGAAGATTCCCAGCAAATTACATTTGAGCACTCTATCTTTAAAATAGTGGGAGAAACGCGGATGTATCGATTTACACTTCCAAATATATTGGCTTTGGCCAACCAGTAATAAACCTACCAAACTTGACGGCTCTAACTCAAGAGCTGCGGACCAATTTATACACTTTGTCGCGAGCAGACCACTATATATTTTCCAAGTTTCAAGTCTCTATCTCTAAGGGTGTCGAAAAAAGTGGCGTCATACAGACGGAATGATGGACAGACAACATGACGGATATTGCACGTAACCAATATACTATGATACTTTTGGTATCAAAGTATAGAAACCAACACAAAGTACTTAAACAAATTTTTAACGTAATCTAAATGGGTTGACTATCGAATACCACGGAATGGAATAAGAAACTGCTGAACAAAAACTTCTTTTATTTACTAGAAGCTGAAAATAATTAATGAGTTGGAATTTAAATACTAAAAACTTCCTAGAATTTTGCAAAAACAAGATTTGTCACTACATTAGTTTCGTTGCCATTGGGGCTACGTTTTGAGAGCTACAAAATATATTTGTTTATTTTAAGCTTTTTGCTGGTAACAATGTCAAAAGGCAGTCGCAAATTAACTTTGCCGTTTGGCAAACTACGAAACTCTCGCAAGTACCAACACTTAGAAGCTAACTAATTACCAAAAATTGGCCCCAGCAAGGAGGACAAGGAACGCCACCAAATATATGGGAGGAGCTAGACGTATCGGGGCGTATCGGGGCGTTGCAGCCACACTTAAGTAACCGGCAACTTTTGACTATCAAAGAGTGGAAATAGCAAATAGAGAATAAGAAACAGTACTGAAAGTTGAATACCCTAACAGATAAAATTTAAATTTCTCCTAACATACAATACAAGGAAAAAAGAAGGAAAGCATTCGGAATAAATTACGAAACTTGATGTAATCCCTTTATGTGCCCAAATGGAAAATATTAAATTCAGCATATTATGCTCAAATAAAGCTCCACAATCTCAAAAGAACTCTTCCTCTAATTTTGAACAAGCAAATATTCTGGACTTGCATATTTCATTTTCTCTCTGTATCCGTATGTACTCGTATTATGATTCATAAAATCGATAAACTAGCTTTAAGTTATTTTCGGCGCATAACTATAAGGTGAGTTCAAGTGAGCTTGACTTTATAATGGCTAGTCATGTGTGTTTTGCAACATAGCTTTTAGAGTATAGGAAGAGAAAAATGGTTGCACCAAAGCAACAATAGTAAGAAGAAAAAGCGACAACAATAAATAGCGATGAATTGAGAGCTAGCTGCAACTGAAGTATCTTTGGTGGAAGCAAAGTGCAAACGTTTTGCCATTTTGGGTAGACGCAGGACATGGCCAACTTTTGTGCCAAGTCACTAGCGAAAGTTGCCACAATATAAACACCACATAAGCACACACACACACTTCACATATCTACGCCTGCAATTGTAAAATGTTTTTTAATTTGACCAACAATACTTTTGCAATAGTCACGGTGCCAACAAAAAACAAAAACTTGGCAGAAACAGGCTGAGGGGGCAGAGGAGATGACAATGTGGGAAAACTGAAAAACATTGTGCACCCAAAACTTTAACTTGCCTGCTTGGGTGGGTGTTAAGTGGTGGGCGTATATTTAACTTGCAACGATATATGGGCGTGCGAGCCACAAATGCAAGCAAAAGTTAAGAACAACAGTGTCTAGGCAGTTGGCCATGTAGCAAGTTCGGCTATAACAATAAAAATTGCACGTTACGCTCCGAAGCGAACAGCATACGATACAGGAGCTGGGAGGTGGCTGGGAGACTCGGCGGCAGCACTAGGTAGGAAAGCAAGGAACTGCACAGCTGGACATGGCATATCACAAAATATATATATCCTTGCCAAAACACCATCTATTGTTTATGAATAGGGTGCAACGGAAAGCGAAACTTTTCGTTGTTATTTTCAACTTAATAAAAATGCTTTTTTTCTAACAATTTTAATACCATATTTTTTGTTGTTTATATTATTATTATAATATAAATATTTTCTCTCATATAAAAACATTTCTCATATTTTTTAAATACATACAATTTAATTTAAAAAAAAAAATTAACTAACGATTTTAAGACGATTGGAAGCCCTGTCGAGAGAGAAAATTTCATAGCTGTTTTTATTTTAAAAATCAGGATTTGCAATTCGACCTCTTAGAAATATTTTCTAGTATTAAGAAAAATAGTTCAGAAAATAAATATATTATTATTATAATTGGGATACGTGCACTGCGATCTACTAGATCTATTGTGCCCCCTTCTGAGCCAATAGCTCTTCCATCAATCCCAGTTCCTGTACACCTTTTAGTTGAAGGCTAGTATGTCCTCGAAACTCATATCATGCATCCCCAAGATGCTGCATCTTTTCCTGATTAAGGCAATACACGCCGCTAGGAAGTGCATTCAGGATTCTTACTCGGTTGCAGAGAACCTGCATAGTTCGTTGCTACAAACACCTAGTTTAGTTAAGTGACTTTTTAGTCTACAATGTCCTGTCAATAGACCAGTGAGTATTCTAAGCCTGTTCTTCCCCATGGTTATTACTTGCTTAAATCGTTTATGAATATAGCCACTCAAAAGACGCCTGGCTTGTCTGAGTCCTGATGTCTCTGTCCAGCTCCGTTGTCGCCTCTGC